CCATTCCCAGTTTTCCAAGGAATCTCCACGCTGCCTTCCATATCGGCTGCACTAATTTGCAGTTTCACCAGCAATGTATGAGTATGCTTTTTGCCCCACATCTTCACCAACACTTATTGTTGCCTGTATTCTTAACACTGACTGGAGTGAGATGAAATCTTAGAGTAGTTTTGATTTGTGTTTCTTAATTTCTAGAGATGATGAACATTTTTCATATATTTATTGATAGTATATAATCTTTTGAGAAGTGTCTGTTCAGGTCCTTGGCTTATTTATTGATTTTTTTTCTTAATTTATTGATTTGTTATTTTGATGTTTAGCTTTTTGAGTTCTTTATATATCCTAGAGATTAGTGCTCTATCTGATGTGTGAGGGGTAAAAATTTGCTCCCAAGATGTAGGCTCTCTGTTCACCTCACCGATTGTTTCTTTTGCTGAGAAGAAACTTTTTAGTTTGAATCCATCCCATTTATTGATTCTTGATTTAAATTCTTGTGCTGTGGGAGTCTTATTAAGGAAGTTGGGACTTAATCTGACATGATGGAGATTAGGGCCTACTTTTTCTTCTATTAGACACAGGGTTTCTGGTTTAATTCCTAGGTTCTTGATCCATTTTGAGTTGAGTTTTGTCCATCGTGAGAGGGGTTTAATTTCAACATAATGAAATCAATAAATGTAATTCATCACATCAATAGACTTAAAGGTAAGAATCATATGGTCATCTCAATAGATGCAGAAAAAGCATTTGACAAAATACAGCACCCCTTCATGTTCAAAACACTAGAAAAGTTAGGGATAACAAGAATGTATCTAACATTATAAAGGCCATCTATGCTAACCCAGGCCAACATCATTCTAAATGGAGAAAAATTGAAGGCATTCCCTCTAAAAACTGGAACAAGACAGGGATGCCCTCTTTCACCACTTCTATTTATCACAGTTCTTGAAACACTGACCAGAGCAATTAGAAGGTGAAAGAAATCAAAGAGTATGGGTAGGAAAAGAAGAACTCAAATTAGCACTATTTGCTGATAATATGATTCTATACCTAGAAGACCCAAAAAGTTCTACCAGAAAACTTCTCGAACTAGAAAATGAATTCAGCAAAGTAGCAGTATATAAAATCAACACCCATAAATCAAAGGTATTTCTGTATATCAGTGACAAATCCTCTGAAAGGGAAATGAGGAAAACTACTCCATTTACAATAGCCTCAAATAAAAATAAAACACTTGGGAATCAACTTAACGAAAGAGGTGAAAGACCTATACAATAAAAACTACAGAATCCTAAAGAAAGAAATCAAAGAAGACCTTAGAAGATAGAAAGATTTACCTTGCTCTTGGATAGGCAGAATTATCAAAATGACCATTCTGCCAATAGCACTATACAGATTTAATGCAATTCCAATCAAAATCCCAATGGCATTCCTCATAGAAATAGAAAAAGCAGTCATGAAATTCATCTGGAAAAATAAGAGACCCAGAATAGCTAAAGCAATCCTTAGCAACAAGAGTAAAGTAGGTGGCATCATGCTACTACAGAGCAGTAGTAACAAAAACAGCATGGTATTGGCACCAAAATAGACTGGTAAACCAGTGGTTCAGAAAAGAGGACACAGAGACTAACCCACTAAATTACAATTGTCTTATATTAGACAAAGGCACCAAAAACACATTGGAGAAAAGATATTCTCTTCAACAAATGGTGCTGGGAAAAGTGGAAATCTTTATGCAACAAAATGCAATTGAATCCTAGCTTTTTAGCTTTAGCTTTTAACTGTAGTGAAATGTTTTCATACATGGTCGCATATCTTCATTCTGTTTTATAATTCATTCTTGAAAAAAAACCAATCTTTTTTCTAATAATAAAAGAAAGATGTTAATTTTAGAAAATTTGAAAAGATACAACAAAGCACAAAGGAAAAACTCACTTATGATCTTATCATATGCTTGAGAGCTATATTAACAACTCAGTAAATGTTGGTTGTCTTTTTTTCCGTGTGTGAATATTATTATTGCATATAATTCTTGATTCCTCACATTTATTCTACTTTTTCTTTTCTATGCAGTGAACATTTTTCCATGACATTAAAGTTAGGCTGTGGAATACATGATTTCTTTGTGTTCTGTAACATAGGTACATCATATTTTAACTAGTCCTCATTGTTAAACAATTAGGCTGTTTATAATTTGCTGTTATAATTGTGCTATGATGAATATGGATTGTGTACACCTTATAGAATTTTTAAAATTAAGTTCCAAGAAGTGGAATAATTCTGTATAATATGGTGATTAAGAGCATAGATTTTATTTTCAGACTGCTTGGGTTCAAATCCTTCCTTGTGTGTATATAGTTAGACAAATTAATTTATTTCTGTCTCAGTTTCTTAATTGATACTTTAAAGATAATAGTATGTACATGGAAAGCACTTACAAAACTGACAAACAGAACACATTGTCAAGGTTAGTATCACCATCATTTTTATTTTAAGGAAATGAACATTTTATATATATATATAAAAATTAAAATTTTCTCCTGAAAAGTTCTATAGGTTTCATTCTTAACCAGCAAAACATGAGAGTACCATTTTACCAGCTCTGACCAACCAACAACTGTTATTATAATCCAAAATCTTTTAACGTGTGCATAAAAGCAGTTCTTTTCTTTATAGTTGGCTTTTTAAAAAATTTTATTCACCTATTTGTAATCACAAATCTATTATTTATGATGGTGTAAATAAATACATAATTTGTTCACTCATTTATTAAGTTCTTTCTCTTTGCCAAGTATACCTCTAACATTTTTTAAGTATTATTTCATTTCAGAATAATTATAGATTCATAGATGCCCTTACTATTTTCCCTATTGCTATCATGGCACATTTGTCACACCTAAGATACCAACATTGGTACATTATTATTAACAAACTTTTCTTTGGATTTCATCATTTTTACCTGTGACCTAGGATCCCATCCAAAATACCCCATTTCATTTAGTTGTCAAGTTTCCTTACTCTTTTCTCATCTGTTTCTTAGTCTTTCCTTGTTGGTTATTATATTGAGAGCTTGGAGGAGTAATGTATTTTGTTAAATGTTTCTCAATTTGGGTTTGTCTGATTTTTTATTTTCCTTGTTAGACTGGGCTGGTTAATATCAATTAAGACTGTTGGATGTTTGTTTTCTATTTTGGGTTGTACTCCATTGCTGCATTCTTTATTTTGATGCCAGTATTTTTTTAGCTTTGGCCATTTATTCTTTCATTTGCCTTCTCTGTGTTCTTTTGACATGATCCATCCTTTAAAAAAATTTTTTTGAGCATTTTTCTCCTTTTGGTATAAGGGGCTCCAGGCTCATTTACTGTTCCCTTTTCCTGACCTACAATCAGCCTTTTCTCCAAGAATTCCCATTTTCTTTTATTGGAGAATGGTATGCAGAAATCAAGATCTGGGTGCTGGGTGTGCTTTTGACTCTTTGATGTGTAGCTGTTTCTAGTCCCTCCTCAGTGGATAGAGATTAAAAGACTACTTGTGTATACATACATCTGTAATTATTTTGGTATTTGTATCTCTCTTAATATATCTCTGTTAAGCAAAATATCCATGTTTATCTCTCCCACTCCAAAAGTGAGAAATCTGGCTCACTTTTGAATACATAAACATTTACATATTATTTCAACCCCAGGATACATAAGAAGTATTTCAGAATTGATCCATATCCCTGAGGAAAATGATTCTACCAATTAAAGTATGCTGTTAATGCATAGTTTGGTTTCCAGTAGAACTACTATCTTCTACTTATTTCAGTACTTTTTTCCCCACCCATTTCTCTGCTTTTGATGCTGTGATTAAAAATCCTTGCTAGGAACAGTGGCATGCCTGTACTCCCAGCAAATTGGGAGGCTGAGTCAGGAGCATTGCAAGTTCCAGGCTAACCTCAGCAATTTAGTAAGGCCCCGTCTCAAGAAAAAAAAAAAGGAGGGGGTTTTCTGGGGGTGTAGTACAGTGGTAAAGTGCTCCTGGGTTCAATCCCCAGGAGACCCCCCCCAAAAAATATTCTTGATTCAAAAATTGATTTTATGTACACCCACACAATGTTGTATAGTATTACACAATTCTGTTATTATAAACAGTATGTGGTACATGTACAAGTTGAGTATTCCTTATTCAAAATGCATGGGACTATAAATATGTTGAATTTTGGAATATTTCCAAATGCATAATGAGATATCTTAGGGATGGGATCCAAGTCTAAACATGTCTCACATAGACTATATACAACATAGCGTGAAGGTAATTTTATGCAATATTTTTAGTGTGCCTGTGTGTTGACTACAACTTCATGTGAGGTCAGGTGTAGAATTTTTCATATGTGGTATAATGTCAGCGGCCAAAAAGTTTAAGATTTTGACATTCTGGATGTTTGGATTAGGGATGCTCAACCTGTAGTGAATATATTATATAACACTATAACTGCTTGCAATGTAATACTTAAAAATATACAATATGTATATATGATGTTTATTTTTAATTACTTTGTTTTTACCTTAAATTCTTAAATATCTTTGAAAGACTATTTTATCATTTAGTATAAAGTAGAACTTTTTTTAACAGAAGTTGCTGTATAGAAAGTTTCCTTTCTCAATTGTTTGAACTATGACTTTTATTGTATTTTAAAATCTTATATATAGTAGATGCTTTCTGTGCTTATTCTCTTTCATATGCTATTCTTATTCAAATTTCAAACATGTAATTAGGATAATTTCAGCATTTCGAAGATTATTTTTCTTTTTTTTAACATTTTTTAGTTGTTGATGGGCATTTTATTTATTTTTTATTTATTTGTATGTGGTGCTGAGGATCGAACCCAGTGCCTCATGCATGCTAGGCCAGCACGTTACCACTGAGCCACAACCCCAGTCCCAAGATTATTTTTCTTTGTGTTCTTTCATGTTCACATATTATTTTAATTAAGTGCTATAATTTTCTTTTTTTAATTTCAGGAATATTTTAGTGGATAAACCAAATGACCAGTCTTCAAGATGGTCTTCAGAGAGCAACTATCCTCCTCAGGTAATAATACAAGTAACCCTTAATACTATTTAAGAGTCAGAATTCAGATAGGAACTTATTCAATTGATGCATCAGTTATCTGGAATCCATTAATAGTTTATTCTGTCTTTGGAATTGGGATATAAACTTTTATTTCTTTTGTTTGAATTTTGAAAGAATTTTGATTTTATAGATAAGTATAGTTTGGGATTTGATGAAATATATGTTTTGCTCTATCTTGTGGAAGATTTAAATTCTAATTTATAATTTTCTATATTACTAATGATGCAAAACCAAATTGTTAAAACCAAGGAAATTGTTAACCAAGAACTGGTTAGGGTGCCGTTACTGTTCCATTCTGAGCAGAGGTTGTGACCTTGACCTCTGTTTCATTGTGCTCAGGTCATTCTGTAAATATGTAAGGAAATGTTAGTAAATTGAGCTTTGCCTTTGAGGAAAAATGAACTTAATATAGTTTGTTATTTTACTGAAATAATGTACTTAGGTGGCATTAGGATGGAATTAGACTAATTCCTTTTACCTGATAAGTGGTGTCTGAATTAATTAATTAATTGAGGGGCTACTGGGGATTGAACTCAGGGGCACTCAGACCCTGGAGCTACATCCCCAGCTCTATTTTGTATTTTATTTAGAGACAGGGTCTTACCAGTTGCTTAGTGCCTGGCTTTTGCTGAGGCTGACCTTTGAACTCAAGATCCTCCTGCCTCTCCTTCCTGAGCTGCTGGGATTACAGGCATGCACCACCATACCTGTCATGATGGTATCTGAATTTATAAAAGCATTAATGCTTATTATGTACTCAGCATGCTTATAATTAAATCCATATATATATATATATATATATATATATCGATTTAATTATATATATATATATCCTTAAGGAAATTAATGTTGTAATAGGTAGAATAGACACATATAAATAAAACTTTCTTTTTCTTTTTTAAATTTTTTTAGTTGTAGATGGACACTATATCGTTTTTATTTGTTTATTTTTATGTGGGACTGGGGATTGAACCCAGGGTCTCACATGTGCGCGGCAAGTGCTCTACCACTGAGCTACAACCCCTGACCTTTATTTTTCTATTCTAATGAAATTCATGGAAACCTAATCTCTATGCTTATTTTCCTTTTTCTGTTTGTACACTTGTTTGGATCACTTGGTATTTACATGTTTATTATATAATATATGTCCAAAGACTATACATTCAAAATTTATATGTTCAGGGTAAAGAATCATAAAGCTACTTGATAATTCATCAACCATTTTTAGAAATGGAAAATGACTATAGCCTTTGAAGTGTGTATGTGAGCCCTCTCTTAAATCAGTCCTCAGTAACTACTGTGTATTTTGTTAAGCATTTTTTTAGAGTATTATATATGTGTATTATAAATACCCTTTGATTTAGTTTTTCTGGCTTTGATTTTTATATAAATATAAACTGATTGAGTCATTTATAAGTCTTTTGTAGCTTGATTTTCTTTTTTATTTTTTTAAAATATTTTTTTAGTTGTAGATGGACACATTATCTTTATTTTTTATTTATTTATTTTTTTAATGTGGTGCTGAGGATCGAGCCCAGTACAGTGCGTCATACTTGCTAGGCAAACACTCTACCATTGAGCCACAACCCCATCCCCAGTAGCTTGATTTTCTTTTGCTTATTAATATGATGTTAAGCCAACACATTAAGTTGTTGTGTATAATGGTAGTTTGTTCATTTTCTCTTCTAGATAGTATTCCAGTATATAAATATGCTGTTGAGAGGCATTGGGTTTTTAATAATATTTTGCTATTGGAGTTTTCTTTAAAGTATATATCTTGGAGTAGAATTACTGAATCATAGGGTAGGTGTTATGGTTTAGATTGGGAGTATCGCCAAAAGCCTCATGTGTTGAAGACTTGATGTCCAGTGCAGCTGCATCAGAGGTAGGTCTTTTAGGAAGTAATGAGATCAGGAGAGCTATAATCTCATCAGTAGATTAATCTATCTGATGAATTAATAGTTTGAATGGACTACTGGGAGGTGATGGAAACTTTAGATAGATGGGACATGGTTGGTTATGCACTTGGGACATGTCCTTGGGGGTTACATTTTGTCTTTCGCCCCTTCCTCCTTGCCTCCTCCAAACCCCTGCTGCTTCCTGGCTGCCATGAAGTGAGCAGTGTTTTTCCATCAAGCCCTTCCCCCTGGTCCAGAGCAATGGAGTCATCTGACCATGGACTGAAACCAGGAGCCAAAATAAATCTTTCCTCCCTTGTTTACTTCAGATATTTTGGTCACAGCAACAAAATGCTGACTAATACAGTAGGTATGTATATATCCAACTTCATTGGCTAAAGCAAAGCCATTTGCAAAGTTGCTGTATAATTTATACTCTGACAAGGAGTATATGAAAGTTGCTGTTGCATTACGTTCTCCTCTTCACTTCTATGACTGATTTAGATTTTTTCAGTCTAGTGGATCTTACATTATGACTCAATGTAGTTTAAATTTGTTTTTTTTTTTTTTTTTGCTTTTTCCTGTTCAAGCCTGTTTGTATATGTTAATGGCTTTGCATTTTTAATCATGTTTTTCTTGATTTACTTTTTAATTTGAATTTGAATATCAAAGTTTTCATGTGTTTTTCTCTTGTTTAGCTTTGCTTATTAATGAATTATTTTTATTTAAAATTTTTTCTGTTTTAATTGAAACTGTGATAACTCCTTACTATGAAATTCCTCTTTGAACTAACTATATTTTAAGGACAGTAGAATTTGATTTTTTTTTACTTGTTTTTTGTTTATTCATTTAAAACTTTAGTAAGTATCCATGAGGTGCTAACTAAGCATTGGAAATTCAACAGTGAATTAAATATTATCTTTTCTTTTGATTAAGCAAGAAAATACTGAATCAGTTAATATCTAATGCATAAGTCCTAGAGAAGTAGTCTAAAGCTTTTGTAATTAAGACGAATTTATTTTGGAAATATATGGAATCCATTTTCTTAATTGTAATTTAAGAACTCAGTGTAGCTGGGGTTCCATGTGGCCAATATCAAATGATAGCATTCTTACCAGAAAAACATAAGGAAATAATTCTTATTTTTTCCTATGATGAAAAATATCCAGGTTGGATAAAATGGATATAATTTTGGTATCTATAGGTAGTAAGGAATCTTGCATGATAAGTGGTTATGAGCTATAGTACTTCTGAATCTTGCTCTGAAAACTACTAGAAGAGTTGGATTGAAAAAAAAAACCATATACACATATATACATAAAGTTTGTGAAAACTAGGACCTCAAAGTGATTCATTTTCAGGATAAGGATAAAACAATGGAAGTCCCCACCTCTGGGAGAGTTGCACTGGTATTTAATAAAAGGAGAAAATGAAAGAGAAACCATCCCTGAGGGGTTATAGCTATATGTTTTTCTTTGTTCACATTTGGTGCTCAAAGTCTCAGGACTTTGCTATCCATGAAATCTTATGGTATGATTGTGGATGAATAGTGCTCTTAAGATTCTCAGCAGAAGCAAATACAAATTCTCTTGGGAGGTGGCTACCTTCTTGCTTAAACCTCAGGAAGTCTCTACAGAAAAGTGAAGGGTACACACTCAAAGTTAACCTAATATATCCAGGAATGAGACACTTGAAGAACTAGCCGAAAACTTAAAAAAAAAAAATAGATACTAGAATTAAAAATACAAAAAGATGCTAGAATTAAAAAACTACTTCAATTTTAAAAAGAGAAGATATCTTCAAGGAATTGGAAACTATAATGTGATCTAGCATATTGAAAAAGAAACAAGTAAAACTTCTAGAAATGAAAAATATAATAGCAAAATATTTATTTTGAGCAATCTTCCCACTAAAGACAGATTTCATGTTAATCCTGGATTATCTTTGCTGGTAGAGAATAATGTTGCATGAATAAAAACCCCATAAATACTTCAGGATAGTAATTTTATCCTTTTCCCTCATCAGATATATTTTATAGAAATTATTGATACTGCCATAGAAAATATGTTTTTTTGGTGAATACTCTAAGGGTTGATTAAGATGTATAGGCACTTACAGATGTCTTGATAACTTGCTTAAAGAAAGATTAAATCATTAACTCTTCCACTGTGATTGTATGCTCCTTCTAAAGGTGTAAGTAGAATTATAAAATTAAGTAATATTCTTTATGGGGCCCGAGAGGCAATTGAAGTTGACCTGCTTTTTTATAATAATTTTATAATAATTTTATTTTTTAAAATAAGGAAACCTCAGTGATTGTTTAATACAATTGTGTGTGAGGGGCTGGTATATGCTTTTGCTTTTGCAGTGCCCTCAGATTATTCCTTCTGTTTGATGAACCACGACAAGAATGTTATAGAACTGAGCTATAGAAATTTTTTTAATAAGTGCATTTTGTCCAAGTTTGCAAAAGGATCATTGTTTAAATTGTTTAATACAGTTTTCATTGATATAATTTATACAGTAAAATGTGTGAGCCTTCAGTATGTGTGATATCCACTTTGAAAATGTTTACCACTGTATAATTCACACTCCTGTGATGATATTAAACATTTCCATGACTTCAGAAAGATCCTTTCTGCCTCTTTAGCAAAGAATCCCTAACTATTCTATCCTCTACCCAGAGGCAGCCACTGTTCAAATTTCTTTTGCCATAGGTTGTTTTTGCCAATTCCAAAATTTAATTTAAATGGAGTCAGAGAGAGAGAAAGAGAGAGAGAGAGAGAGAGAGAGAGAGAGAGAGAGAGAGTGTAAACTTCTATTATATGACTTTTTATGCTCAATGTGTGTTTTATGTTTATTCATATTGTCATGTACATTAATATTCCATTTCTTTACATTGCAGAATACTATTCTATTATATGCAGATACCCAGTTTGTATATTCATTCATTTTCTTTTTTTGGACATTTGTGTTTCAGGTTTTGGTGATTATAAATAAGGTTCAAATAAATATTGTTTTATGAGGTTTTAAAAATAATACATATTTTCTGTATTTGGGGTAAATATCTGGAAATAGAATTACTGCATCATAAGGAAGGAGTATATTAATTTTATGCAAAATTACCTGACCATTCACACTCAATTTTAGTGATTATTGTTAATGTGAAGTGGTTTTTAAGTTACAATTCCTAGTAACTAATGGTATTAAGCACTTTTCCATTTGCTTATTAGCTGGTTTTTTTAAAACTTTTTTTGTGAATTCTTTACCCATTTAAAAAAGGTTTGTTTAATTTTTGATTATTGAGTTGTAGGAGTTGTTTGCATTTATTCTGGATATAGGTCCTTTTTTTAGTTATATACTGCAGATATTTTCTGTCATTTTGTGACTTTCATAATCATTTTCTTAGTACCTTTTTAGTCACTTTTTAAAGACTATTGAGATATCTGTGGGAATTACATGAGGATTTTCTCTCTGTACGGAAGCCAGGGTGATTTAAGTTTGGCATTACAAAGTATGTATTGCTCTCCCATGGCAACAAATTGTCCAGTGCATATGACCTTTATCTCCACTCTGCTAGGGAGATCCCTTATAGTAGCTCCTCAATATAGTTTTGATTTGCATTTCCCTAATTGCTAATGATGTGGAACATTTTTTCATGTATTTATTGGCCATTCATATTTCTTCTTTTGAGAATTGTCTATTTAATTCATTTAGCCATTTGATTATTTAGTGTAAAGATTTTTGAGCTCTTTATATATTCTGAATATTAATCCTCTATCGAAGAGTAGCTAGCAAAGATTATCTCCCATTCTGTGGGTTCTCTCTTCATATTTCTAATTGTTTCCTTTGATGTGTAGATCACTCTGCATTTATAATTTTAACTTCACCTAGTAGCACAGACGTTATGATCTGGTGACTGCCTACCTCTTCATTCTCAATACTTAAGGTTTTTTGCCTCGCTTATAGGCTCTAACAACACTGATATTTTCATAAGCCTTCGTTTCTTTTTTGCCTGGCTAAATAAAATGGTTGCATACACTCCCGGGGGTGGGGGTTGGGGGAGAGCTGTGTGGAACCTTGAATGTGACCTTATTTGGAATAATGGTTTAACAGATGTAATTAAGGTAAGGATCTTCAGTCAGGATCATCCTTGATTAGGGTAGGTCCTAAATCCAATGATGAGTGTCTTTATTTAGACACTGAAAAGTAGAAGAAATGAAACACAGGAAGAAATCTATGTGAAGATGGAAGCAGAAATTGGAGTTAAGCTGCTGTGAATCAGGAAACACCAGGAGCCATCATATACATTTGGGTTGTTTCCACCTTTGGGCTAATATGAATACTATTGCTCTGAGCATTCACATACAGATTTGTTCAAATACCTCTTCACTTCCTTTGAGTATGTATCTAGAGTTGTTCATATATTAATTCTTTAACTTCTTGAGGAATTGCCAAACTATTATACAGTGTATATACCATTTTACATCCATCAGTGCCTTTGGACTATTTGTTTATCTTTTTTGGAGAAAAAGCTATTTAGGTCCTTTGCCCATTTTTAAATGGGGTTGTCTATCTTTTTTTTGAGTTGTACGGAGGGAAGTCTGTACCCTGCTCTGTGTTAATCCATAATGACTAGCACAACAGTTTTCATGCTGTGCCTAACTCAGAGCAGTAGTTTGCCATGAGTTACTACATTTTGAGTTTTTTAAGTGCTGAGGCAGAATGATTCTACACTTTATTTGTACAATTAAATAACTACAATTTGCCTAGCACAACCATAAGGCACAAACCAGTAAATAAATTAATTGATAATAAAAATGACTATCTATGAACTTATTAAATTAAATCAGAAGCACATGGATGCATTGTGCATATCAGCTTCATCTCAGAATAAAATAGGCCCATGAGCTTTTCACAGGTAGCAGATCACCAAATGAAGCAGTTCCCTCACCTGAGATCCATAAAAGGAGGAATACCTGCCCCAAGATTGGACACAACAGTACACTGACCTGTTACCTGGTCATTTGCACAGAAGAATCACCACAGTGATGAACTGGTGATCTTCTGTCCCCATGCTTTAGCTCAGCCTCGTTTCTCATGACTGTAACTATGATGCATGGCCCCCTCCAACCTGACACTTCAAGCTGACACTCTGAAAATGACATTTGACTGACACTGACATAGAATAAGTTTTATTTCTAACAGCTCTACACCCCAAACAAGTTCTTCATCTAGTTCTTAATTTTATCTGATCATCTCCAGTGACGCTGCCTTTGCTCTCAGTTCAGCTTCCTAGACCCCTGTGGCCATCTTAAACCCTTTCGTAGCTTTTCTGTAACCTATTCATGTCATATATAAAATATGACTTGTGTGTTAAAGATATTAACATTGATAAAAGAACTTGTGATTGCCCAGCATATGACTATCAGGTGATCCACAAGTACACCAAGAATAGTGAATGATGAAAGTGGTGTAGCTTTTGAATTTATTGTTCAATAAATTCTGACATTGTGGAAAGACACCAATGTTTTTGGTCTTTGTTAATGGTATAGCTTGCTCATGACAAGGTTTAAGAGTTATTTCTGTATTCTGTTTAGTAGACTAGGTTATCTTTTCATTTTTTTGATAGTTCCTTTGTTACAAAAGTTTGAATTTTAATGAAATCAAATTTAACACTTCTGTTTGTACTTTTGATGTCAATATTTAAGAAACCATTGTCGAATCCAAGAAGTCATTGAAGCTGGGCATGGTGGCAAATGCCTGTAATCCTGGCGGCTCAGGAGGCCGAGGCAGGAGGATCTTAAGTTCAAAGCCATAGAATAAGTTTTATTTGTAACAGCTCTGCAACTAGTTCTTCATCTAATTCTTAATTTTATCTGATCATCTACAGTGACTCTGTCTTTAGCAACAGCGAGGTGCTAAGCAATTCAGTGAGACCCAATCTCTAAATAAAGTACAAAATAGGGTTGAGTATGTAGCTCAGTGGTTGAGTGCCCCTGAGTTCAATCCCCAGTATGTCCCCCCCAAAAAAAAAGTCATTGAAGATTTATATCCCTGAGTTTTTGTAAAATTTTTAAATTTTCATTCATCTGTTCATATCTTTGATCCGAAAGGACTGATTTTGGATCAGTTTTGATCCAAGTTAATTTTTGTGTATAGTGAGAGGTAGGAACACCAACTTCATTCTTACCACCATTATCTACCTATATTATCTATTGTTATCATAAAACATGGACTCTCTCCAACAAAACATATGAATTGTTTTTCTAAATAGCTTTTTGCAAATGTATTCCATCAGTGATAATTTTCTCCTTAATTTTTATAATTGAGAACAGTCTTCATAATGTTTTTCACAATTAACATCTCATTTTATTGAGTGTGTGGTAGGAAACCTTGAGCTATATTGGACATATCTATAGTAGGTCTGGGTAGGTTTAATTTTTTTAAAAAATATTTTTGTTTTGGTTGTAGTTGGACATAATACCTTTATTTTTTATTTTTATATCGTACTGAGGATTGAACCCAGTGCCCCACATATGCTAGGAGAGTGCTCTACCACTGAGCCACAACCCCAGCCCCAAGGTTTAAAATTTTACCACAGATTTTGAACATTGATTTATCTATTAAAATATGATCCATGGGAATATGTAATTGTGATTTTTGCGATCTAATCTTGTGTTGTTTGGTTATTCAGAGTCTTCTGATAGCTTTTATTCCATACTATCCCTTGATTAGAAGTTTTCTCACTGGTTCTATTTTCCTCCTCCATTTACAGCATGCAGGATAATGTAGTTTCTGGGCTTTACTAGAATGAAAAGTGGTGATGTTATGGGAGCCTTTATAAAGCTGTTGTATACTATTCTTTAGCTTAAATAAAAAAAACTTACCATTATAAGATGAGCCTTATTCATTCTTCTGTCAAGTCAAAACATTTAAAAATTTTTTTCAAGTTGTCTATTTGTTTTAAACAGAGGAGAATATGACTTGATTGTTTCTTTTTTTAGTACTTGATTCTGAAACTTGAAAGACCTGCTATAGTTCAGAATATCACGTTTGGAAAATATGAGAAAACTCATGTCTGTAATTTGAAGAAATTTAAAGTCTTTGGTGGCATGAATGAAGAAAATATGACAGAGCTATTGTCCAGGTGAGTTACAGTTATGGGGAAGAAAGGGTTGTCTCCTAAACAAACAGCAGTCTTACTTTAGTTCCCCTCAACCCCTTAAGGGAGTAAAGATTATTTATCCTATTTTACTCCTGTTTCTTATTTTAATACTGTGGCTTGAGTTAGCTTTTTTTTTTTTTTTTTTTTAGCCACCAGTACTATTAATGTTGTTATTAATGACAAGAATCAAAAGAATAATTTAATTTCTTTTTCAGTCATATTTTTTGAACTGTTACTGACTTCAGAAATATTAAACTTTTTATTGCTATATAGAGAGTTAGGGATTGGAAAGGAAGGGTGAAAAAAAAAACACCTTTGCTGTCGTCTTTGCTATAAAAATAGAGACCCTATTCAAAATATTCATTGTGCTAATCCAGAAATGGTATTCTAAGACTTCACTGGAAATTTGAAACTAAAAAAGGAGGTTTTTGTAAATGAAAAAGTATGTGGCTACTCCTAGTGCAGTGCCTACTACTGGAAAGACCTCAGTAAATTGGAGTTTTAAAACAGACCACCTGGAGTGTTAAATTATCTGCCAGATAATAAAAAAAGGTAGTCAATGGAAGGGACAAACAAACCCATGAATATATTTAGAATATATTTGTGATATGGTATGTTCATTAACATAGTACATAGAAGTAAATGTTACTTTGATGCTGCATTTTATTTGAGTCATGAAAGTATTTCAGGATATAAGACAGTCTGAAGGTAAGTGATTTTTCTGTAAGTACTTGTATCAATCCTGTTGCTTAAGTAGAAAGGTAATATGGGTTGATTTTTACTAAGATTAAAGATGTTGTTATCCAACAGAATAGGATTGTCTCTGAAATTTTTTTGGACTATAAAAGGAGTATTAACATCTCAGAATTAAGAAATTTAATTCTTTGATATATTCTAATATTCAGGCTAAGTTGTCAGATCTGAGACAATTTGACTTTAATTTTTCCAAATTTCTCTCCTGCTTATAAATTTATGTTACATTCAGTTATTCATTAAAGACCTTAGGTTCTGTCACACATTTCCATGCACTGTAGCCATAACCTTTAATACTGAACTGTTTTCTTATATAATTTCTTGTATAACTGCTTTCATATATAATTTAGAGAATACAATTTTATTGAAGTTGATTTGAATGTACAAGTTTTAACCTATATTCCCACGTTCAACTACTTACTATTGTGTTGGTCATTTATTATGAACATAGGTTTAAACTTAAAATCTGAGTCTGGTATTAATCTGAGTTTTCATGTGTTTACTAAATTATGAAATCAGATTTGATAACCTTTTTTTTCCCTCCATAGTGGCTTAAAGAATGATTATAACAAAGAAACATTCACCTTGAAGCATAAAATTGATGAACAGATGTTTCCGTGTCGCTTCATTAAAATAGGTAAGGTTATTTAGCATTTTGGAATAAAACTTTTTTTTATGCCACTCGTCCATAGATTGCCACTCATAGATCAAATCCTTTAGGCTCCCTATTTTTTCAATAAAATTTTATGGGGACATTTCTACACTGGTTGGTTTACATATATTGTCTTTGCCTGTTTTTGTGCTCCAAATGTGAGTAGTTGAAAAAGATCACATAGCTAACAAAATCCAAAAATTTACTATTTGGCTTTTTACAGGAAAAGTTTGCTGACCCTTGCTTTGTAAGTCTGTTATTAAAGTGAAGTTATTTCAGGTTGAACTTTTTCCATTATTTTCTCATTTGAAAGTTTCTTTAGAAAATTTTATGAGGTATAGTGATTTGATTGCTTTAGTCATCTCGTGGAAGGTTTATGAGTTATTCTATAGCTATCTAAAACCAAATATGGATGAATCCATGTGTGGCGGCGGGGGGTTGTTTTGTTTCTAGTGAAATGCTGGCCAAACCCATTAAATCAATTTCATGACTCACTAATGTGTTACAGACTACTATTTGGAAAAATACTACCTCAAGCCATATATGTATTTAGAAAGTATTTGTAATGTATCCTCAAAATGATATTTTTTAGGTTTTTTTTTTTAGGATTTATTATTTAGAACATAGGAAAGTTGAGGACTTGGGTCTTTTAAACATTTCCATCTTTATCTACTTATTTTATGTGGGGTACTGGGGACTGAAATCAGGGGCACTCAGCCACTGAGCTACATCCTCATCCCTATTTTGTATTTATTTAATTTGTATAGGATTTCACTGAGTTGCTTGGAGTCTAGTTAAGTTGCTGAGGCTGGCTTTGAACTTGAGATTCTTCTGTCTCAGCCTCCTGAGCCACTGGGTAATTTCCATCTTTATTGCATACCTTTGAAAATATTATATTCAACTGGGATTAAAGTGAATTTGATCCCACAAAGAATAATAAAAAGCCAGAATCTCACATTTTGATTTGGGAGAAAATTTCTCTTTTGGAACAAACGGTGTTCTTTATAATCATCATTTGCTGCTCTATCAAGAGTAGGCCTGTTTGTTTTGTTGAGCCCAAAGAAATATCTGAAATCCTAATAAAAAGTGCTTATAGTGGAGGGCTGGGGTTGTGGCTCAGTTGTAGAGTGTTTGTCAAGCACACATGAAGCACTGAGTTCGATCCTCAGCACCACATAAAAATAAAATAAAGACATTGTGTCCAACTAGAACTAAAATGTAGATTTTTTTTAAAAAAGTGCTTGTAGTGTAAAGTATAATTTCTGTTCAATTTCCAGCAAAGCATTAATTTGTAAAAACCTTTTAAAAATGTGTTGTAGTGAGGTTTCTTCTATATACCAAATGTTCTAATTGAAGTTTTGGAAGGGAAACCCTCATGAGATTAAATTAGAGAAGAGAAAATCTAAAATGTAATGAAATGAGGGTATCTGTTACAAATGACTAGAAGAGTTTACATCCTCTTTCATACCCAAGATAACAACTGTGTGAGGAAATTAGGAAGAAGGAGATTGGAAGGATTCTGGAGTCAGTCCTGGTTTTGTGTAGATAGAATCGAATGGATTTCTTTGAAGGAGTCATTTTCAGTTTAAATAGTTGTGGGGGCTTCAGAGAGAGGGTTTAGCTCTGACTGTATGCAGTATACATTTTGGATCTCAAGTGTTTGGAAGTCTAGAATGGGTACTAAGTCGCGGTGGGGGTGTTTATCCTCGAGGTTTGCTTGGGTAAGTGTGGCCTATTATGAGAATATATATAAGGGTGATATTTTAAAAGTATATTATTAGGAATAAAATTCATATAATAATAATGGCTAATAATGATAAAAGCTAATGTTTATTGAACTCTTAGTATGTACCAGTTATTATGCTAAGTACTGTGTGCTTGGTCATTGATTCTACAGTAGAATAGATAAACTCTTTCAAAGTGGTTAATATTAGATTTTAGGATCTTCCAGAAACTTAAAATGACTAGCTAGACATCTGGAAAAGTTCCCAAATAATATTGTTAAAATACATTGAATGTGTCACAGAGTTGTTTCGTTGTGTTGAGATATTGACTCCTTCAATTCTAGAGTAGCAGGAGCCCTAGCCTGTTGTTCTTACATGCTATATGTATCCCATTTTATGAAAAAGGATGACAAACATGAATCTTGATCATTTTTGTATATGGTTATACTACAGGAAAAGCTGGTGGTTGAACCCTAGAAACTCCTCTTCTTGAGATGTATATTAGGAGCATCTTATCTTTTTATTTAAGGTGGGAGCAGAGGCTTGATTTATCAGGGAACCTAAAATATGTGGCTGCAGCGTCAATGCACATTTAGATTTCTTATATATTATGTGTAGTACCTAATATGCATTATTGAGGTAGCTAATGCTACCAAAAATCATTGGTAATTTTGAAATGAGCATACATCATTCTGTTCATTTCATCCATACCCCTTTAATCTGTTGAAAATTAATTTATATGTTCATTTATCTGTAATATATGACTTATATGACTTTTTTATGGTGAGATGCTTGATAATTTACCTCCCTCCCTATGTTCTTTACAAAGTATATAAAATTAGAACAGTTTTTTTGTAGAAGTATGTCTTGTGGACTTTTTAAATAGTTATTTTAATTTTTTAGTTGTAGATGGACACAATATCTTAATTTATTTATTTATATGTGGTGCTGATGATCTAACCCAGTGCCTCACATGTGCTAGCAAGTGCTGTTACCACTGAGCCACAACCCCAACCCCTTTTTCAAGACTTTTGCATGTACAGAGGACATCTCATTAGAGCACAAGTGTTTAAAGTAAAAAAGTTTTAATTAATGAATGTTTTGTTTTAAATAGATATAATAGAAAGATCTCTTCTTCCTTTCTTTTAATTTATTAAACTTGGACCTCAGAATCTCTAACTAATGTTATGTATCTGGTTACATATAGAGAACTATGTTATTGGGGCTTTGAGTTTTGAATCTTATTTTCATTCAGACTACTTGATGGTTATTTCTGTGTGATGTGGTAATACGTTTAAATGTTAGTGCCACATTAAAAAGTGAACAACAAAACAATGATAGTAATTTAATATTTCTTGATAGAAAACATGTTAAAATTTTTATTTGTTGCACATAGAAACTGAAAGCTATATTAAATGTCCCAGGGTCCTTCATATATCCACATAGTTAGTTGCTACTACCTATCCCTGTCTTCACTCACAGAGCTTCCTTTAAATAATGGCCTCCCATTATATCTGAGCCAGTACGTCCTAGCTCCTTATTTAGTCTGTTGTACTGAAAAAGGCAATGAACCTGGAACTCAATAGGCCTGCTGTGAGATGCTGTGGATGTAATATTTTAATATTTCATCAAAACTTGGCAAGTGTTAGATTTTTATAGGTAGTTCCATTATTGACTCCAAAACCATGTCAATGAACTTATTTTGTTACAATAAAATTCTAGGATCTATCCTATACTTTTTAATCCATTCATCATTTTGTAGTGCCATTCATTGGTCTTTCAAACTTTGTAACATTTCATACAGTATTTTAAAATAATATCACCTGCAGACAGAAAAATTTACGGAAGCAGTCCAAACTCAAAGTGATAGATACTTGTTTTCCAAAATTCTAATTTTTTCTTGAAAGTTTGAATTTTTATCCTCTACAGCAGATATCATTAGTTGTTTTTCTTGAAATGACAGATAAATATAGCAGATACTCAAATTGAAATAAACATAAGTTGTCTGTCAGTTTTTCTTTCAAGAATAAGAATACCATGAAAAAGCAATGATTATTGTAGCTCACAACTCAAATAGTAACCAAGTTCTAAAGATAACTATTATGCTTTGATATGCAGCAAAAATGCTTTGTATAGGGCTGGGGTTGTGGCTCAGCACAATAGCTATCATCTGGCACGGGCAAGGCCCTGGGTTTGATCCTCAGCACCACATACAAATAAATTAATTAATTAACAGTATTGTATCCAACTAAAACTAAAAAATAAATATTTCAAAAAATGCTTTATATGTATTTCCCAATTTGACACAGAGGATAACAAAAAGATTACTTAATTTACTTAATGTTAGGGATTTAATAACATTAATTTTTACTGCATCATCAAGAGCACCCCAAATGAACTTGCTTTAATTAAGGATAGATGGTAGTGAGAAATACAGTGTAATTTGTTGTGTACCAAGGACTACTCACACTTTTAGGTGCCATTACTTTGGTACCAAGTGCCAGTAATGTTATTCACTGTTGCTTTTGCACTATTAGTACAGTGTTAGTATTATTTTTTTCAAAAGAAGCCTGACAAACACGTAGTGTCATTACAAAAGAATTTTGATGATGTAGAACTTCCTGAAAGGGTAATAGGGATCCCCAGAGTTCAAGGATCATGTTTTAAAAACTTCTGTGTTCTGTCATTATTGATGTGAAATTTTATCTTCATCATGTTAAATTCCTCTGAATACTTCAAGATTGTTGGATACTCTTCTTTTCCTGTTTTACTCATCTGCTTTCCTTTTCCCAGACTAATATCAGATTGTATCTTTGTAGTATACTTGTATTATATAATTTTTTATAATTTTGGATATTTTCATGTTATCTTTTCAGATCAGCTTGTTTATTTACGTGGCCAAAAATGGATATATGCCATTGGGATTTTGATTGAGATTATACTGAATTTGAAATGGAGAGAATTGACATGTTTATGACCTTGACTTTTCCTATCCAGGAATACAGAATATTCCTTCATTTATTCAGTTCTTCAGTGAAAATTCATGTCCTCTTTTATTATAAAGATAGCAGTTTTGGTTGTTTATTTTGAAATATTTTCAGCTTTTATTGTTATCATTATCATTATTGCTATCATAAAGAGGACTATCAAACAAGGGGCTTTTGGGGAGTTTTTGGTGGTACTAGGAATTGAAGACAGAACCTCATATGTTAGGCAAGCACTCTACCACCTAACTACATCTCCATCCCTTTTTGCCATATTTTCTAATTGATTATTTTAATTATAGGATAGTTAATTTTTGCATATTTACCTTGTATACAAACGTTAAACAGTATTTCAATTGAATTTGAATTTTTTAGTTATCTATGTCATCAAGTGGCATTTTTCCCCCCCTTATTGCACTGGCCAAGACTTTTCATATTGTGTTGGGCAATGGATGTTGGACCTCTTGGTCTTGTTTTGACTTCAGTAAGCATATATAATATTTCCTCATTAGTTTCATTTTTAAGGTTTGTAACACTTTCAGAAAAACTAGGTAAAGACTTGTCCTCTTGCCTTCTATTCCTTATTGTATAAATAATTTTTAAAAATAATGAACAGAAGCTGGGTGTGGTGGCATATGCCTGTAATCCCAGTGGCTCAGGAGGCTGAGGCAGGAGGATCAGGAGTTCAGAGCCAGCCTCAGCAAAAGCGAGTCACTAAGCAACTCAGTGAGAACCTGTCTCTAAATAAAATATTTGGGGATGTGGCTCAGTGTTTGAGTGCCCCTGAGTTCAATTCCTGGTATACCCCCCCCCCTAAAAAAAGTGAACAGAACATATATTTTATTAATTTGTTAATATCAAAGTAATTAAGCACATTTTTTTCTTTTAGCAGTTTGTTAAAGTGGCAGATTACATTAATATACTTCCTATTGAACAATTCTATTCCGAGAATGAGATCCATTTGATTATATTGAAAATCTGGTAGAATTATTTTCATCTTTTTTGCCCCTTTAATTTGGATAAATATTCATAACTGAAATTGGCCTTAAATTCTTTTAAAATCCTTTTTCTTTGATTTTATTTTTAGGGTTATTTACTGGCAAATGAACTTGTAATGTCTTTCTGTACTCTGTTATAGCTTAAATAATATAATTATTTGCTGCATGTAGGTTTGATAAATTTTACCTGTTAAATTATCTAGTACTAGTTGTGTTTAGTTGGAAACGGTAATATGACAATTTTGAGTTTATTTTATAATGTTTTATTAACTAAGGAAACCTCATATGGTTATTTTTGCTATTGTAGTTTTAGCACCTAGCACAGTGCTAGGCATATAGAAGATGCTCAGAAAATTTTGTCAAATGAATGGTTATAGGTTTAATAGTGATTTTTGTTTTGCTGAAGTTTTATTTGAATTATGTTAATTTTTTTCTTCTCCCCCTCTTTCCCTCTTAAAGTTCCACTCTTGTCCTGGGGGCCCAGCTTTAACTTCAGCATCTGGTATGTTGAACTCAGTGGTATTGATGATCCTGATGTAGTACAACCCTGTCTCAACTGGTATAGCAAGGTAGGACTGTATTTTAAAATCCCATACCTCTACAGAAGGTGAAATATGTCAATCTCTATCTTCATTGTGAATTATTGAAAATATTGAGGATAATAATAAAAATTATAGTGATTAATCAGCGAACATTTATTAAGTATTTATAGTCTGCCAGCCTCTAAGCCATCCTGATAACTTGATTGTTATCATTCTATGAGATAGGTACAGTTGTAAGCTCATTATTTTACAGATGAAGAACTGTACTACAGAGAGGTTAAATATTTTGCCTTGGCCCACACAGTTGTGAAGTACTCAAGGCAATATATGAACTCAGATAATCTGGCTCTACAGTCTGCCGTTACCTTATTAGACCCATTTGGCTCATGAATTTTGTTTTTAACCTACATTGATACTCTTTGATCATAGTGGTTGTTTTCCTTTTATTTTTTTTGAATACCTTTATTTTTATGTGGTGATGAGGATCAAACTCAATGTCTCACACATGCAACATATCTTTTAGTGGGTTAGTTTTATAGCCTGATGGAAAATTTAAGATGTGAATATGATTGAGAATCCCATAGTCAACATAATAAACAGGTGTTATTATTTAATATAATTTTATTCTTTTGTATAGATAAGCTAAATCTGGGGCTGGGGCTAGGGCTCAGTGGCAGAACCATTGCCTCGAACATGTGAGGCACTGGGATTGATCCTCAGCACCATAAATAAACAAAATAAAGATAAATCTTTTTTTAGAGGAAAAATTAAAAGGCTATTAATATAAAATTAATTGAGTACAGAATAATTCTTTGTTTATTCGATAAGGTTCAATCTTTGCAATTGTAGTCTGAAAGGAGTGTTTAATAACTTACTAATCAAGAAGTCAGCTCAGGGCTGGGGATGTGGCTCAAGCGGTAGCGCGCTCGCCTGGCATGCGTGCGACCCGGGTTCCATCCTCAGCACCACATACCAACAAAGATGTTGTGTCCGCCGAGAACTAAAAAATAAATATTAAAAAAAAATTCTCTCTCTCTCTCCTCTCTCACTCTCTCTTTAAAAAAAAAAGTCAGCTCATTGTAAACTGATTTGTGTTTTAACTCTTCAAATTTTATTCTCTTGCTTTATTAAATGGTAATGCTTTTTAAATAAATCATTGTTGTTTGATTATCATGCTGTGGTTCTCTGTTTTCTGTTTTATTTGAATTGTACAATGGAATACTTAGAAAATTTGACATAATCCCAGGACATAGTCTTGAAGTTGATTTAAAAAAAAACAAAAACTTTTTATGAGTTTATATTTTTGGCATTTATCCTGTTAGGGGAAAATTTTTATAAATTGAGTACCTACTTTTTAGGTTCTCATTAATTGAAATATCTACTTTAAATGATCAGGTACCCCAGTCTTAGAAAATGATAAAATTTAGTCTCTTCATACCATACCTATTTACGAATTTAGAATACCTCAACATTTGATAATACTTGTCATTCAAGTAGTAGTTTATCAATAAGAATCGAGAACAGAAAGCTTATAATTTGTTTGTATTATTTCATTGTGTCCGTGCTTTCAGGACCTGCATTGTACTGTGGTTAGTGGATGTCATGGGATTTACAATTTTTATAATTTGAAGTGGTCTTTAATACATAATATCTTGCATCTTTTTAAAAAATTCAGACTCTGGAATTAGATCTGATTTAATCTCTCCTTCAGCAACATACTTTGTGACCTTGGGCAAGTTATTACAATGGGCTAAGCATTAGTTTTGATACTAGAAAGATGAATATAATGGTATCTAATGAATAAGATTAATATAGTGCTTGGGAGATATTAAATGTTCAGTTTAGATTATTTGTTTTCCCTTTTTATTATTTCTTACAGTAACAACCAAGCAAATCTCTTCTTTTCATACTTTCTCTTGTGTTCTAGTAGTACCGTGAACAGGAAGCCATTCGCCTTTGCCTAAAACACTTCAGACAGCACAACTATACAGAGGCTTTTGAATCACTGCAAAAGAAAACCAAGATTGCATTGGAACATCCTATGTTAACAGATCTGCATGACAAACTGGTGTTGAAGGGTGATTTCGATGCTTGTGAAGAGCTGATTGAAAAAGCTGTAAATGGTATGAAATTTTTCTTAGGGTCATTTCAAGTATATAGGGAACTTTTTCAAAAAGAATATAGCATTATGCTTATTAATCTTATACTTTTTTCCTGCCTTTTTAAAAATTTTATTTTTTAGTTATAGATGGATGCAATATTTTATTTTGTTTATTCATTTTTATGTGGTGTTGAGGATCGAACCCAGTGCTTCATATTTGCGAGGCAAGCACTCTGCCACTGAGCCACAACCCCAGCCCATTTTTTCCTGCTTTTTTACTATATAATGACTGTTAACTCCGTGAATGAAGGGATTCTTTCATGTACAATAGTCCAAAATGTAATGAGACTCAAAGAAAAGACAGAAAGAAACATACATAAATTTAAGTACCTAAATTTAAACTGTCATTATGGAAAATCATTTATTTAACTAGCAATAAGCCAAGTTACAAATCATCTTTTGTTGCTACTTTTCTTCAATACTCTATGCCTGTTCCTTTAAGTATTTTTGTCAGTATTCTAGCCAGTATTTACTGTTAAAATATTAAGAATTAATTTTGGGGGGGGCTTAGATATTAAAAAAATATCATTAGTAGACAATATAATGAGCAAAGGGATATGACTGAAAATTAGTGTCTGTGTGGTGTGAACGCTAATAATTGCTGATTTTTCTTAATGTAGCCTAATCTGACTTTGAAAAAAATGTAAATATTTGAACATGTGTATAATCTCCCAAGGTAATAAATAACTGCTTTGGAGACTGACACCCATTTGAATACTTAAAGCTTTATAGAACATCTTTTTTTTTTTTTTTTTAACCCAGAAACTTTTATAATGACAAAGAACAGAATAGGTGCTTGTGTTCAGTATAAAACTTATAGAATTGAATTTGGTGTATCATTTTATAGAAAGAAGAATAACAGATGTTACTGCTTCATTTTTATCTGTTTTAGTCTTCTTGCTATTGTTATTATCCACTTTTAGGTATTTATATTTATCAGATATTATGTTGAATATTTTATAACTAAAGAAATCAGAATAATACTGTCTTTTTAATTTATAAATTTAAAGAATGAAAAGAATGAATTACTTACAGCTCTGATTTGTTAAGTATGACATTATATCCTAGTGGCTGTGGAGCTGAGGCAGGAGGAGCATGAGTTCAAAGACAGCCTCAGCAAAAGCAAGTCACTAAGCAACTCAGTGAGACCCTGTCCCTAAATAAAAATACACAATAAGGCTGGGGATGTGGCTCAGTGGTCAAGTGCCCCTGAGTTCAATCCCTGGTACCCCCCCCAAAAAAAGACATTATAATAATATAATATTATATATAAAATCTTGTCAGGGAGCCTTACACATTGTTATTATTGCCTTTTTAAATTAATGCTGATTGATGTTTAAAAATAAATGATTGGTACTTTTGAAATAGGGTATACTTTGTAGTGTAAGCAAAGAGTATATATGTAATAATTTTCTACCAAACCATTAAAATGCTGCCAGTGAAAGTATATATGCATATATAATATTTCTAAGAGTGAATTCTGTATTTTTTTATCTCAGGATGAATGAAGCAGGTGATTTATGTTTTTCAGTGGGTTTGTTTAAAATCTTTATCATTAAGGCATTTGCTATCATTTTGTTAAAGGGACAATAAAGCAACCATGGGTAACTTTATGTAATACTAAAGATAGTTACCCTTTTTGTTTTTTGGTGCTGGGGATTGAACCCAGGGCCACTTTACTACTGAGCTACATCCCCAGTCATTATTATTATTATTAAGTTGCTTATGGTCTAAGTTGTTGAGACTGGCCTTAAACTTTCCATCCTCCTACCTCAAACTCTGAGGTGAGTTGCTGGGATTACAGGCATGTACCACCACATCCAGCTAATATAGTTAACCTTTTAAAGGTGTCTCTTTGATAGGATACTCAGATAAGAAAAACTGTTAAAAGCATATGCATCTTAGAGTACTACAGATACTTAATGTAGGAAGTTTTGGAAAATTGATAGTAACTCTAGTTTTGAAACTTAGAGCCAAATTGTATTTTTATACTGCAGTGGGCTTTCCCCAATCAGCTAGGAACACTGTTCATTAGTAAACACTCTTCCCAAGGTTGTTCAGTTTGCTGCTAACCTCACTGACAATGATTTGTTGGACAAATAAGGTAGTAAACAGTGTAGTTTTTTGGCTCGTGTTCATCTAAAAACAACAGGGAAGGACAAGAAGTTCTTGCCTACTAAGTAGAAAGGTCTAGTGAATCAAAAGCATCTTTTGTAAAGCTTCTTATAATAGAAGGGGAAAAAAACTACTTTCAGTATATTTACGTGATCTTCAAGTATGGTTAATATTTTTTAAAGTATCAGGCTTACTTTTTAAAAATATATATTTTTTTTGTCAATGGATCTTTTATTTATTTATATGTGGGCTGAGAATCAAACCCAGGGCCTCACACATGCCAGGTAAGCACTCTACCAACTGAGCCACAGCTCCAGCTCCTGGCTTATTTATTTTTTTATTCTGTTGGCCTATATCCCTGTATTTATATTTAACTTCAATAGAGAAGACTCTTGAACCAATGACTGCTACTACTTCTGACAATCTAAAATTTATTGATGATGGGCATAAATAATCACCTAGAAACAGGAAAGTTTTACACAAACTCCCTTTGTGTAGCTTATCTTATTTAAATAGATAAGTTTGCTTTTAGAGACCATAGACCTTCCTTTTCTTACTGTTTAAAATTCTTACAGAAGAGTTTGACTACCTATGTTAAAAAAAAATAGATGAAGTTATATTTAACTTTACAGAGCTTTACTGAGATATAATTGACATTGTGAACTGTACATATTTAAATTGTATAAATTAATAAATTTTGACATACCTGTATACACACACACACACACACACACACACACACACACACGTGACACCATAACCATACTCATAGTAATGGTCACCACTCTCCAATTTTTCTCATGCCCTTTTGTAATTCAGCCCTCTTTCTCAATGCTGCCATTCCCTTCCCTGGCAACTACTGATTTGCTTTAAGTAACTATGGATTAGTTTTCATTTCTTTATAAATCAGTCATACTGTATAACACTCTTTTTGTCTGACTTTTTCAATTGCAGTTATTTTGAATTTCATCTATATTGTTGTATGCATCAATATTTCTTTCTTTTTATTGCTGAGTAATAATCCACAGTGTGGATATACCATAGTTGGCTTATGCATTCATTTGTTGATAGACATTTGGGTTGGTTACAGTTTGGGGCTATTATAAGTAAGGTTGCTATGAACACTTATATACAGATCTTTTTTTAAAGGAAAAATATTTTTTAGTTTTAGGTGGACACAATATCTTTATTTTATTTTTATGTGGTGCTGAGAATTGAACCCTGTGCCTCATGCATGCTAGGTGAGCACTCTACCACTGAGCCACAATCCCAGCCTGTGTATAGATCTTTTTGTGGAAATATACTTTTGCTTTTCTGGGTAGTTACTTAGGAATGGAATGTCTGTGTCATATGGTATGTATACATTTTAGTTTTTAAGAAACTACCAATTCTTCAATGTTGTACTGTTTTATATTTATAGCAGTAGTGTATGAGAGTTCCAGCTGCTCTACATCCTTGCCAGTATTTCGAAAGTCAGTCAAGTGTTAGCCATTATGATAGACGTGTATTATGGTCTTGTGGTTTTAATTTGCATTTCCCTAATTACAGTGACGTTTCTTATTTTTCCATTTGGTAATTTTATACCTTGGTGTCTTCTTTGGTGAACTTCCTGCTCAGATCTTTTGTCCATTTTTTTATTCAGTTATTTGTCTTCCTATGATTGCATATTAAGAATTCTTTATAGTTTTTGGCTACAAGCCCTTTATAAAATACATATGGGACTTGAAAATATATTCTCTCAGTCTGTGGCTTGATTTTTTAGCCTCTGTGTCTTTTGAACATCAGAAATGTTTAAATTTTGGGGCTGGGGTTGTGGCTCAGAGGTAGAGCGCTCGCCTACCATGTATGAGGCACAGGGTTCTATCCTCAGCACCACATAAAAATAAAATGTCGATATTGTGTCCACCTATAACTAAAAAATAAATATTAAAAAAAAGAAATTTTTAAATTTTGGTGGAGCTTAATTTATCTACTGTGTTGTTTACGCATCATACCTTTGATACTGGACCTAAGAAATTCTTATCTAACCCAAGGTCACAAAGACCTTTGTTTTCTTCCAGAAGTATTATGGTTTCAGATTTATAATTAATTATATGATTCAGTTTGACTTAATTTTTGAATATGGGACCTAGTAAGATTTTTAAGAAATCATATGGAAATTAAGTATGTTTCATCAGTTTATACTGTCTAGATTACTATAGCCTCATAAATCTTATAATCAAGTAGTTAAAGTCTTCTAACTTTATTTTATTTCATATGTATTTTGGCTATTCTAGGCTGAATTTTCATAAGAATTTTAGAATCTGATTGTCATTTTCTACCAAAAAACAAAAGCCTGTTAGAGTTTTGTTTTGCTTGCAACAAATGTAGAGATCAGTTTGGCAAAAATTGAAATCTTAGCAAAGTTTATCACCGTGTTTATGAATGTGATACATATTCTTCATTAATTAGTTCTTTTTAAAACTTATCTCAGGAATGTCTTAATTTTTAGTTTCTTGGTCTTGCACATGATTGTCAAATATGTTGCAGAGAATTTTGTATTTTCTGTTACTATTAAAAATAGTACTTTTTAAATTGTTAATTGTTAATTGCCAGTTATAATACAGAATACAATAGATTTTTGTATATTGCTTTTCTAGTGTACAGCCTCCTTAAATTTATGACTTAAGTTTTACTAGCTGCTTTTGTAGATCCCATAGTTTTCAGTCATGTCATCTGCTTTTAAAAACACCTTTAAATTGTCTTATCTAATCTTTTTTAAAAATATTTTTTTAGTGTAGATAGACATGATACCTCTATTTTATTTATTGATTTTTATGTGGTGCTGAGGATTGAACCCAGTGCTTC